AGTACGAGGGCACCCCATTGCAAAGTGGAAGCATGCATGGGTAGCAAGCAGCGAAAGCATGTATCAAATACAAAAACAAGAGACAGCAAAAAAAAAATGAAGTGAGCGAGCTGAGAGGAGTGAAAGAAATATGTAGCAATTCCAACAACTAGCACAGGGTCGCATTTATCTTTTTGTTATTTTGCAAAATATATACATAGATTTCGACGTTGCATATTTTGCAGCGATAGGAAATGTTGTTTCCCATATATTCTGTTGTTGTGTGTTTGCAAGTTATGCAATTCATGCAATCCGCGGGACGTGCAATGGCTTTGCACGATTTCCAGAATACCCCTAGGGTTTTAGAGAAAGATTTGACGAAAACATACTCAAAACAAAACAAGCGAATAAAAAATGTGGATATACAATTGAATTATAATGTAGATTCTTTGATATTTAAGACGATGGTAAATATTCTCCAAAATTGCTCGCCAAAACTTAACCATCAGAAAGTTTCAAACTGGCGTAAGTTGTATATTTTTACAAGTTTTGCGTTAAACAACTTACTCTGATAATTTTCTCTTCCTCTCAGTTTTATTCTCTATTTTTTTACGCTCTCGCTGCAAGTATTTACTGGAAAAGTTATTTAATAGACCAATTATGAAATCAACTTTGTTGATTTTAGCAAGTATCTTGTTTTCAATAAACACCACACATTTATTTATATGAGGTAGAAACAGATGAAGATATTTTGATCGACAAAAATTCGAAATTCCAAGTATAAATTTCAGCAGAATTGTGTTGAGGTGCCCTATTTTGACAAAATTGTATCAAAAATGTCAATGTATTTTAAGCTTCCGAAATTTACCAAAAAAGTACAATTGAGCCGTTTAGTGCACAAATTGATTAACTCCATCAATAAAGAATTGAGAGATGCGTTAAAATAATGTACATTATTTTTTAAAACTCCTTTTATATTATAAAATCAAATAAATAATATTTTTATAAATGTTATGTTCTATTGTAAGTTATATAAAGTTAATATAAACGTAATAAGTTATGACTAACTAACTGCTTTGACACTTAAATTTAAAATTATTTAAAAAGTCATCAAGTCAAGTTAATCAAATTCATCACTGGTGTATCTTGTTTCGGCATTCCTTAAAAACATGCTTATACTTAGAATGTACATAAAACTTTAAAAATTATTAAAAAAGTACATCTGCTTTTGCTTAAGGTTATATTTTATGTCTTTTTTCTGTTCGTTCGATTATATCGATAGCAAAACTGATACAAATATCGATAACAAATTTCGATAGCGAAATTGATAATAATATTGGCAGCAAAATCGATTAGAAAATCGATAAAAATATCAACCAAATCACACATCGATTAGAAAATCGCTAAAAATGTCGATAACAAAGTCGATAGAAATATCGATAACACAATCGATAAACAATTGGTAAATAATCGATAACCAAATCGATAGCGATATAGCTAAATAATCGATAAGAAATCGATAAATAGCCGATAACAAAATCGATAAAGAATCGATAACCAAATCGATAACTATACCGATTAAAAAACGCATAAAAACATTGTTTATTATATCGGTAAGTCCCGAAAATCTCGAATATCTCTAGAATCCCAAAATAGTTCCCAGATTGAGTCTATGTGCCTCTATCTATATCCTTGTCTCTATAATTACCTTTATTTTAATCTTTCTTCCTCTACCTTCATCTTTACTTTTATCGGTATCCTCATCCTCAGCTTTTTCTTTATATTTATCTTTTTTTACTTTTATGTTTATCATTTTCTTCATCTACATATTCCCCTTCACCTTTGCCCATATATAAGTGAAGGTTTAAATTTACCTTGGTCATCATTTTTGCCTTTATCTTTTCGCAGCCTTGTTTTTGTTTTTATTTTTACCTTTGCCTTTATCCCTTTCTTTATCTATGTACGTACCCTTTCTTTATCTATGTACCTTTACTTTCATTCCTGTATTGGTCTTTTTCTAAGTGTTATTCCTTAACCTTTTATTACCAAGTTTTTGTTAAATTTATGTACATACATTCAAGAAGCACTTGCTTCCGTCCCAACCATTTCCATTGCACTATTTCCGTTGCATAATTTCCGTTGCACCATTTCCGAGTGCAATTTCCGTTGAATTTGCCAATTTACTCCCAACCAACCAACCGCCGCTAAGGAAGTTTTACTTCAAAAATTTGTTTTACATATTGGTCTTTCCATGAAAATGTAAACCGAAAATGCAAGCAAATGAGTTCGAACGGCTTTATAACTTTAAATTTCGTACCCAGGTGACAGAAAAAGGTTTTTAAAACGCGAAACGGTTTAATAAAAACTAACCAGAGATAATTTATTTTAAAAAATTTAACTATTGTAAAGGTACCGTATTTTGAGAGATTTATGTTACTCCATAAGCGTACGAATGCCGCGTATGGCTGTATGGAAACACCCATATGTAACATTATTCGTCATAAAAATTGTTGGTCAAAATGGTCTGCATATCGAATTCATCCAAAATTTTAAATCATTCCCAGTTTTCCTCACAAAATTCCTATTCCACCAAAACAATAGAATTCTCCCCCAGTTGGCATCTCTGAACAGGAGGTACTCAGTCCAGTCCTTTTCCTTTTCCAGTCCTTTTATTTTGAGAAAGCAATATTTTGTCATAAGCGCAAACAAACGTAAAAAAAATTATTAGTATTATCCTGCAAAAAGTGGTATTTAATCTACATAGTTATGTGCATACATATTTATGTATATACTACATATATCATTATTTTGTAACATTCGATGTTTGCTTTTTTGGGGGTAGTTACGGCACTGACAACAAAAAATATTGGGGGTTGAGCGAAATGTTTTCATTTCTCTCTAGTGTCCGAATGTCATTTCTGACAATTCCAATTTATCTCGTAACATTTAATATTGATTGCGCATGACGGAAAAAAGTTTAACGAATCTATTACATTCCTGAGACTTTGCCCCCTGTTGTATAAATAATGAAGTTTCTATGCAGATGAGCTTTTCTATTTTGCCCTCTGTTGTGTAAAGAATGTGCGTGATTACGCTGCTTCTTCTAAAAATCGTATGGCCTCATTCATACAAAAATAAAGCTGTAGCTAAAAACGGGTTTATGAACTGAAAAATGAATGGAAACGTCATTTTATAAAGCTATTTAAACCTACTTTTTTTTGTATGAATAAGGCCATTAGACTTTATAAATGGATGGTTTTTTAACTCATAGGCTAGGTCCACTCAATAACTGTTCCAATAAGTATCTACTTGCAGCGAGAGCGTATAAGAAAAATTGAGAGGAAGAGAAAATTATCAGAAAAATTTATTTAACGCAAAACTAGTAAAAACTTACGTCATTTTGCCACTTACTGATAGTTAAGTTTTGGCGCGTAATTTTCTTTTTGAACTCAATAGTTGCGTTTTTTACTCATTTCCAGTAAAATCCAGTAAAAGTTTTTACGAATTTTCATGTTTTGGCGTTTTCGTACGCAAAAACTAGCAAAGTAGGGGAAACTGAGAGAGCGTAAAATGACAGTTGAAGTTGCAAGTTTTTACTGGATTTTACTGGATAAATTTTTACTTGTAAGAATAAATAATGATAAAGATAATGGGCATTTAACAAATGCTCAAAAGTATTTCAATATAAAACTAAGCTCTGGGCGCATCGCCATTGAACACTCCTTTGGCTTATTGAAGCAAAGGTTCCGCCAATTGTACTATTGCAAGCTCCGGGGCATGGAAAAACTTTGCCACTTCGTTAGAGCCTGTTTCGTTCTGCATAACATAGCAGACGAAGACGATCTAAACTTTATTTCAGATATATCTGAAGAAACCTCACACGACTTAACATCTCACGGTGAAGTTGCTAGGGGAAATATTGTGAGGGATCCAATATGTCAAGAAATACAACTTCGTCACCCAAATCCATAGATTTAGTCAAGAAACAATGTTTATTTGTATGTATGCACTTCCAAATATTTAATTTTTTCATATAAGGCATACTGTTTAATTAAAAAAAAAATATATATATATAAAGTATGTATTATGACTTTAAAAAAGATAACAATAATTAAAATCCACTTCCAAAATACCTGCAACGAACAAAAACTGTAAGTTGATATAACATATTTTTGGAGAAGAAGTATATCTTTACGACGTACCACAAAGAAATACACAAATTACTTTTTTAAAATATCCACCATCGACTTCAAGATATCAATTTTTTCCTACTCTATCTTCGCCTTTTCTTGAGCTCTCTCCTCTTTCTTCCTTAGATTTTCCTCCAGCTAATTTTCAAGCTTTTCACCCGACTTCTTCTTTTGTTGTATGTAAGCCTCTAGATGAGACTTCTTCTTTTTAGAAGTTGATGGCCCGAAATCAAGGACTTCTAAAGATAATAAAATCAACATAATTATCTAATTTCTGAAAAAGTTTTAAGTAAAAAAATACAATAGGGCTGTTCAGGATGTTGTGGAAATGGTCTTAGATTTGCAGTTGGAATTGCATTTGCAATTTTATGCTTGCTGTCATGACATGTGCATTTTATTGTTGCCAATTTACAAATGCAAGAGCATATGCTCAAGATCCTGTACAGCCCTATTGTAAATCCTTATTAATTTGCATAATAATTAATACCTGAAGTGCTTTCCAAGGAGTCAGAAGTTTTTTTTTGCCTGATGTTGATGGGCCAGAGTCGATGTTTTCTTTAAAAAATTTGTTTATGGAGTATTTATAAACATAAGTTATGTAGTAGATACCTGGTATAGCTGGTAATTGCTCGATGTTCTCATCCGCATCACTGCTTTGTTCCACCGATATTGGAGTCTCATTGTCGAGTACCGCCTCAGGAAAAATTATTATTTTTGCTTAAAAACTTCGTCTAGCTCACAGTTTTCATCAAAATATTAACGAAAATTATGGATTATTTCACGAAAACAAGAAGAAATTTTGTTCAAATATTTACTTCTCATAAGAGCATGTCATTCTGGCTCTTCCTGTTTTAGAGTTATTGAGTTTAGTTTTTTGTACTGTCTTTCTACGCTGTAAAATTTCCCCTCCACTTGTGAAGACGTGTAAATGTAACCCTTTTCGCAAAGTTCCTTGCTAATCCTGCTCCACATTTGCTTTTTGTTTTTCATGCTTTGGCTTTTGCCAGCTTTCGGCCGAAGTTCCTTAAACTTCAAAATTAGCAGCTTTGTTGGCGCATCCAACCACGCAGGCCTCTTGCCGTGAGGTGTCTCAGCACTTGTACCGATTGGAAGGAAGTCTTCCCCTTCACTTTCGCCCATTGCAATCTCTTCCGAGAACGATTCTTCAAGGCCAGCGCTCCCGCTGTGCTCTTCTGTTATAATAATGCTTTCGAAGCATTGTTCTCCAGCCACATCGCTTATGATCTTCTGTCTATAAACTGCATCTGCTAGATAAATTAATTTACTAGATTAAATTAATACTGTTTTCTTTTCAATTGTTTACTCACCGTCTTGAACCTTTTTAGATGTTCCAGGAGAACAAGTTATGTTAAGCTTGTTACCGTCTTCTTCCATTTTTTGTTAATTATTGCTGCCGCACTCAATTTGTTAACTTTTCTTCTATCTTTATTTGTTTTATTTTATTTGCCCGCCAAAAAGAAGTCAACTGTCAAAAAAAACTTGCAATTTCTTACTAGTTTTGCGTTTTCGTACCTTCTTGTATGTTTCACACTCTGAGAGCGAAATATGTCAAATTCCTGGAATATAAGTAACTGGAGAGTTGCTGGCAAGTTACTGGAAAATTAGTAAACAAACGCAACTAATGTTTTCCAATTCCAAATCAGACGGATTTGTTCGCTGTTAGTGCCTAGCTTAATAACATACTTGCAAGGCGAATTCATACATATATATGAATAGATTTGCCTTGCATACATGTATAGTAGCGTGGACCGAAAATCCGCTTTTTTGGAATTTTGATTGGTAGTAGCAAAAGTATGGTTCATTATGCTCTAAAAATAATCTGTGAGAAAGATGACAATTTTTGGTCAACACCTTAAAAGTCCTAAAAAAAAAATTGTTTTAGCTTACTTCGATTCCCTACAAAAAAAGTTCCATACACCAAATTATGTAGAACTAATTCTTTCGAAAATTAAGTAAAAAAATTTATTAACTCATGTGTTTATTAAATTTAAATGTTTTGAGCACATTGAACTTTGATGTACTTGGGCGAGTCTAAGATATTGGCCAATACTTGTCATCTTCCACACAGATTATTTTTAGAGCATAATGAACCTTATTTTTGCTATTACCAATCAAAATTCTAAAAAAGCGGATTTTCGGCACATGCTACTATACATGTATGCAAGGCGAATCTATACATATATATGTATGAATTCGCCTTGCATGTATGTAATTAAGCTAGGCAGTAACAGCGAACAAATCCGTCGGATTTTCGGCCCACGCTAAAGTATTGATTATAGATTCGCCTTTCGTACATGTATGTACAAGAATGATAAAATACAAAATTGCGCCCATCAGAGGAGATTTTTGAGAATAACATTTGTGTGACGTCACACTAGTACAATTGCAAGAGAGAAATGCCAAAACGCGAGCAAGAATGGAAGAAGAACAACAAATTTTTTTAGGGATGAAGATATTTTGAAGAGGGCTGCCGCCTGCTTGCAATGACGAATTTAGTTATCTTATCCACAAGTTATATGAAATGTCAAAATAATGATGTCAAACGAAAGAATGTTAGAAGACTTTACAGCCCTATTCTGTTGCCCTCACAAAAATCACAACACTTTCTATTGTGAGGTTTCTGACTATTGTGAGGTTATTCCTATGCTGGCGTAAATTCGAAAGCTCAAACGCTCACAATTGTAAGAAAATTTATGATGTACGAATGAGACCCTCACAAGAGAAAAACAGCCGATTTTTATTGAGCAATTGAATAATGTTTTGTTAATTTTCGGTCGCTATCAGTGTCTGTGTTAATTTTTCTTTTAAACTAAAAGGCGATTCAGTAATGGCGGGAGTTATTGCTTGTTTTTGCGGCACTTTCGGAAGAGGCATACTATTTCATTTCCATACAAACTTTTGCACCAAGTTGTGGATTGCAAACTGTGTGAAGTACTGGAGATACTCATGCTTTGTTATTTCATTTTGAATTTACATAGAAAATAAATAAAATCGGTAATTATCAAAAAAATAAACAAGTTGCAAAAGTATTTACTTTTCCTGTTGTTCAGCAACCATCTTTTGTATTTATTTTATTTACGAAACAGCTGTTAGACAGTAAAATGCTTTTCACCTCGTGTGGTGATTTTGTTGAGCTTTTTTCTTATGAGGTGTGGGCAAGAATAACCTCACACAAATCTCACAAATTTTTGCTCACAACTCAGTTGTGAGAATAGGGCTGTTAGTTTGAACACAGAAGATATATTTGAGGTGTTGGAAGGGGGTTGCCACCTGTTTAAAACTTAAATTGAAATTATAAAATAATTTAAATGAACTATTAAAATATGGGTATCAATCGAATGGGGGTTGAAAAACTTTATTTCTGAACTAGTATATTAGTTATATCAGTTAATTAAAATATGTATCGCAATGTTAGACGAAGAATATTTAAGAATATCTTAGCGCGAAACTACTTTTTAAGAGGGCTGCCACCTGTTTAAAAAGTCGAATTCAACTATATCTATATATATAATACGCGAAAGGATTTTTTGTCCAGGACATCAGATTTGAACCGTTCGTTCGATTTTCAAAAGTGAGGTATCAAATTAAAGGGCTTGATGTGTAGATGTGCCTCTCGTTCCTTGCAAGTGGTAGCTGTCAGCACACTATTGGTAGTGATTACCTGATAGGTATGTGCCAGAGCACGGTATCAAAATTGACGTCCAACGTCTTAAAAGAAATAGAAAGCAAATTGTGTCCGGAATTTATAAAGTTCCAGCCCAACGAATCTTCAAGATGTAAGGAGTGGTTTGCGGAAAAATATAAAATACTTGGAGGTAAGAAGAGGCGTTCTAATGAAATGCGTAGCGAATCCAATGTTTTTCTTTTTAGTGGCTGGATGCGTAGACGGAACACACATTGGATTACAAAAGCCAATTAGAGACGAGCACATGTACTTCAACAGGAAAGGTTACCATAGTCTTAACGTTATGCTAGTAAGTTTCTTCTTTCATTTTAACATTTTATTACGAATATTCCGTTTGCCAGATTTGTGATCACACTTGCAAGATTCTTGTAACAAATTGTCAATATGTAGGTGCAGCCCATGACTCGTTCGTGTGGAAACATGGTATGCATTGTATGTATACTTCCAGTCCTGCTGCTCCCACAAGGAGCTCCTCAGCTGGAGTTAAAACCTTTTCCTGAAAAGGTCCACCACCTGTCCGCCGTTTGGAAGCCTTGTTAAAAGAAAGCTTCCTCTTTGCGTTGTATTTCTGGTCAGCGAAAGCCTAGATTAAAAGAAAGTTCGTTCATGTTTACTTTCATTAAAAATATTAAAACCTACTTTCTTCCACAGCTTCACATCCTTAATTGGCGACCCTACAGCATTTAATTGTTTGGTGAGGTTTTCCCACAAACGGTTGGCCGTTGCTTTTCCCAGCGAGCAGTTTGGGAGTAAATTCTTTGCCAAGTCAGGGTGTTCAGCCATGAACTCCGCCATGAGTTCCTTCTGCGTAGAGTTTAATTTATTGTAGTTGGTCCTAAAATAACAAAAATAGCTATAAACTTGTATATGTTTGCACAAATTTTATAATTACTTACATTTTTCAAAAAATTTTATCAAATTTTGCCCGCGTACGTTCGTCAAATATTAATCGAATGACAGTTCGAACGAACGAGTACGTTCACTCGCTCGTTCACGTCTGTCACAATCCGATTTTGTCATTTTTACGTGACGAGTTGCTCGTTCACGACTCTTACGATTCGTGCCCAGCTGTGTGGCCGCTGTGTGCTGGGGCAGGGCTGTGCTATGTTTTTGTTTCCTTATATCTGTTTCATGTTCGGCTATGCGAACACCTAATGCGCGTTTTGTTGTCCCTATGTACACTTTACCATAGTTTTCGTTCTCTTTGCCCTTACATTTTATTTCATAAACAACGTTGTTTTGTTGCTGTATGTCTAGTGGGCTTTTTGTTCTTGTGTAGATTCTAGCTATTGTGTTATTTGTTTTGTAGGCGAGGGTTATATTTTGTTCCTTTAATGAGCTGCGATCGAAGTTTTCGCTTAGTTTGGGGATGTAGGTGACGCTGTAATACTTCTTTGGTGTATTTGTTGTTGCTGTGGTTGGCGTTTTATTTTGCTGNCGTCTGGAAATGGAAAGCATCAGAAACAAGTGATAACGATGACGACAAAAAAGGCAAAAGTGAAGATAAAGACGAAAATGGAGACAATGAGAAATACTTAAGAATTAGGGTAACAGAGTTGAAATTTTTCGATAGGAATCGAAATAAAAGNCGATAATTTTTACTTTTCAAAATACTGTGTATATTTTATAAGCTTTTATTTAACTTGGTCATCCCGCGCAAATCGCGGAAATTTCCAATCGATTTTAAACTGACTTCCCGACAAGTTAGAGACTTGAAATTTTCAGCATAGTTCCAATCACGATGACAATGCAATTTAATATATAAATAAATTCCCCATATGGTCCAGGGGTCTTGATTCAAAGGCGGTCAAAAAATAGTAAGATTTATGGCTAACAGAGCGTAATTTGCCAAAGAACGTAAAACCACTATAAAATTGTTAAAGCTGCCGGCGCGCCGCGGCGGTAGTGTAGCAAAGCTATCTGTAGCAAATTCTAGATATCAACCTAGTCTAGATATGAACCTCGGTGAACCCTGTTGCCCCGCCAGAAGAAGTTAAATAATGCGCCAAAATATATGCCATGCTACAGCGGAAATGGACGACACGCCATTTCTTTAANTTAAGAATTAGGGTAACAGAGTTGAAATTTTTCGATAGGAATCGAAATAAAAGCAGCCATAAAGGTTACTGAAATTTATCGAATCATCGAAGTTTATAATTATCGAAATTTATTCATGCTTATGAAGTTATCCCAACGTATCGAATTATTCAAACTGATCAATGTTTATTGAGTTGTCGAAATTTATAGACACAGAAACTTAGTTGTCCAAATTTGCGGATAGTTATCNAAGTTAAAGAAATGTATCAAGTTATCGATATTTATTGAATTATCATTATGTATAGACTTAAAGAAATTTATCGAGGTGTTGTAATGCATGGAGTTCTTTCAGCTTTTAGAGTTATCGATAATTATTGATCTACTGAAATTGGTTGGTTCAACGAATCGAAGTTTATGGAATTTTCAAAATATATCGATTTATCGAAATTTCAAGGTTATATAAGCTTATCGATTTATCACTGCTTATAGAATTTTATCGTGTTAACAGAGTGTAACGAGTTACCAAAATGTTTAGATAGTTTTCGAAAAATGTGGAGCTGTCAAAATTAAAAATTTATAAAGGTATCCCAAGAATTTACATTTTTGAGTCATCGAAATTCATCGAGCCCTCGAATTTCACAGTTATCGAAATTGGTCGAGTTAACGACTTTTGTTGA